AGGAGTGAGGGAGAGAGAAAAAGAGAAAGGAGTGAGGGAGAGAGAAAGGAACGGGAAGAGGAGGGTTATAGTTCTGTGTTTTTGTTTCATATTAAAATCAGAAAAGTTCAACGGTCAAACTGATGTTCTGGTTCTCCTTGATTAATCTTTGCTAGGACGGACGTATACTTTTGTGTTCTACCCGTCCGTTCTCGATAGAAAGACTCGAATTAGTCATTTTTTTACCGTTCGTTATGCCCGCTATTTGACCTTCAAAATTGGATATACCCACTTCTATTCTATCTATAATATGCTCTCTAGTAAATCTTGAAACAAAACAAAAAGAGTGATTTATTATTTCGTTCTATATATCAAACCGATAGTCGATTAGGACAAGCTCCTTAACTCTCGTATTCATACGATATTAGATAAATTATGAATCGTCAAGTAAAAACGAAATTGTTAAAAACTGTCTGCAAGCAGGCTGAATTGATGCGGGCTTCCTTTCATGGTTCATCGTGGACAAATAAAATTAGTGAAACAGATAAAAAGTTATTATTTGTAAATAAAACTGGAGAAAAATTTCGGTCAAAAGTAACGAAATTAAGTGTTGGGAAAACATGGTCATCAATTCAGAAGGTATGTTTTATCAAAAATATATTCTACATCTGAGAATTCCTTTAACAAATGCTAATTATTCACTTTCTTAAAAAGGAATGGGTCATTGTAAAACAAGTTCAACTGCTAAAATACCGCGAACAGTGTTTATGTGGACGACCAAATTTGAAGTTTGTTACATATTTAAAAAATAAGGAAAATAATAAGGAAATCACATCGGGCAATTGCTGCATATTAACACTTAAACGATAAATATAGAACAGAAAAGATTCATATATGTTTTTTTTCAGTATTTGTAGAGTTACTTTATATAACTGCAGAAATGTTTTGTAGACTTTAGCCTGTAAGCATTTTTTTTATGTATATTTTATACATTAAAAATAGATATCATCATTTTCGCTGATAATTTTTTCTAATTACTAATCTTTGATGAATACCTGAATAACTACTCGACTAAATGTGTTGTTGAACGAATGTTACTTCCTTGATGAAGGCGGTACTCACATTAGAAAAGATCTCGCAAACTAATCAGTACTTCACATAATTGGAATGAAATATTGCGAAAATCTTTGTCCAATAAACAAAAGAAAACCAGATCAACTGATTTTCTTCAATCATTATCTAGAAAATTTCTTTTCTTTAATTTATTTCAGTACAAAAATAACTTGCTTAAGAGAAAATCTATTGAGAATACTTTAAGTTTGTCAATGAGAATTGAAGTTGATCAAAGAAAAAAACTTGTTGGTCTGTGTTTACAATGTTATTTCTTTGAATTAAGAGCAGAACAATTACTTTCTTTAAAAGTTCTTCAATCAATGTTGAAAAATGTATTTCTTCAATAAACAACATCATTTCTTAACTTGATCAAAAATCAATTTACCAATTCAACGCAAAAAGTCTTCAAGTCATT